GATTATTTAACGGGTATATCTGAATATTTTCCTTGTAAGAATATTGAAACTTATTTTTCTCAAGGGGAAATATTCACCAATATTTGTGCTATAAACCGTTTACAGTTAGGTTTAATTGTATAGTAAATGGCCAATGACAGGATTAAACAAAATATTTAAGGAATGAATGTAATATTTCTTCTGTCTATGAAGAACTAACATCCCAAATGAGGTGCACACTGTATAACCCCCTCATTTTGAGGTTATTTTGAATTTGAATTTGATAAAAGCTTTCAACCAATCAGAAGACGTGTTGCATCCAAAATTAAATTATTTGTTTATAAATCTTGACGTCTATATTTTCAAAGTCCTGCAACGTTTCATATATGACCGATAGGAAGGATGGTTGCTACGGTTCTATTGTATGAAGAGCATAACACTGAAAGGATTTTGACCAATCTTATGTATAATCAAATACATGTAGACCCTATCAAAATATTCAAATTTAGTATTGAAAAGGTTACTTTTCTTTTAACACATTCTAACAAGATAACACCTCAGTAATTTTTTTTAAATTATTTTTCCTTATATTTAATCTTTAATATTTCCATAACGGCTTACGAAGCGACGAATTGTAGTTTACATTGCCTTGAATATTAATCCTTTTAAATTTAAATTTACTGTTATAATCTTAAAACGGTTGCGATTTTAAAACGGTATGGCTAGTATTTGGATGCAAGTTTTTGAATATAAAAATAAGAAGATGTGGTATGATTGCCAATAAAACAACTCTCCACCAGAGACCAAATTACACTAAAATTAACAACTATAGGTCACCGTACGGCCTTCAACAATGAGCAAAACCCATACCGCATAGTGAAGTATTGTTGTTAATATAGTCCTTTATTATTATTTATGAAAAATATAATGGTATTGCCATGTTATACTTGATTCTATGCTGCATGCAAGCGTACAACGAATTTGCATATTTGTTTTTCGTTTATCGTTTTGATCATAAATCAGGCCGTTTGTTTTCTCGTTTGAATTGTATTACATTTTGTCATTTCAGAGCCTTTTATAAGGTAGCTTGCAATGCGGTATGGGTTTTGCTCATTGTTGAAGGCCGTTCGGTGACCTATAATTGCTATCTTCTATGCATGTGTTCACTAGTGGAGAGTTGTCTCATTGGCAATCATACCACTGTGTGACATCTTCTTATTTTTTTCATACTGGTCAGGGAGAGGATTGAGCGCTCGCAAAAATTTTAAACCCCGCCACATTCTGTTTGTGCCTGTCAAAAGTCAAAAACCTGTAATTCAGCGGTTGACGAAAATAACCAAGACCTTAATAAAAGGTTTTATAATGAGCAAATTTTATAGGATTAGAAATAAACTCAAGGTACTCGCAAGGCGTTTTGTGCTCGTACCAGCCCATATGGCAGTCAACAATGTGGTAGAGGTTTGTCGTTCTTAATAATGAAATTATAAATTTTTCTACGCTCATGTTATGCGCTCCACAAAGAGTCAAATAGCATACAATTTTACCATAGCTCAGCTTAAGCCAATAAGGTCCCTACTAACGGTATTAAATGGATTAGCTACCTAAACTACACAAACAATTAAAATATCGTTTCACTGGCTTCGGTTGACACAACCGTGACTACACTTTCACACAATCTTATCAAACATGACTTTTCTTTTTTACTCAAATAGACCTTCGAAAATATTAGCTGTATTTCATGTAAAGCCTTTTTCTGTAATGTAATTTATTCGAAGGATAAACATGTGTATATGGCTGGCTTCTGAATTTACGAGCTCTATTAACAACATCATCGTAAATGTGTAAGAATGTGATATCCGTTGATGCATAAATAAAATAAATGGTACCAATTTTACTGTTGATTGTACTAAATGTTTCCTTTAGTCAGGAAAATATAAAGTGTAGATATCGGTTCATTTCTTTAAGTGCAAACTGATTTTTTTAATCAAAAGAAATGCAAAAGGCATCATTTAGCAAGGCTAACTAATGTATATTCAACATCATTTGATAAACATTTCCGTCGTTTAGAATTTTACTGTTTAACTTTCTGTCTTAAAATGTTTGAAAATTTTACTAACTTCTTAAACGGTATGTGTATATATATATATATATAAAACGTCTGAATAATAGTCAACGATTTTTCCCACGAGGGCGCTGGATCGTTACGAGTAACGATACATGTAAGACATTGATAAAGGTTTTTCTCGTGCTAACAACATCAGCCAAGATGAACTTTTACAATATAAAGTCAAAAAGGTCAACAGGAGGGTGCCTTTTGTGTTGACTTACCATCCAAAATTTGACAACTTATCTCACCTAATCCGCGAAAATTGGAAAGAAATCGAAAAACATCCTAAACTATCCAAGATCTTTCCCGAGCCACCTGTACTGGCTTTCCGTAGGCCCAAAAGCCGAAAAGACTTGCTTGTGAGAGCTGATTTATCCTCTCAAGCAGGCTCTTCGTCTGTGGGCTCTTGCAAGGGTTGCGGGAACAAACGATGTCTGACTTGCAAACAAATGCTGGTTACCCAGACTTTTAACAGTCACTCCACTGGTACAGAATACACCATATTTTGCAATGTCAATTGCAAGACTAAAAATGTTGTGTATCTCCTACAGTGTAAATGTGGTAAACAGTATGTTGGCGAGTCAGAACAGCCGTTTCACAAACGAATGAACGGTCATCGTAGCGACTACCAATGCAAGCCAGACCTCCCTCTTAGTCGACATTTGAGATCCCCTGGCCACACTAAGGCAGATCTCAATCGACTGACCATTACAATCATTGACCACAAATCTGCTTGGTCTAGGGAGGATAGACTCACTCGGGAAAGATTTTGGATAAGAAAATTAACAACTTTGGCACCAAATGGGATAAATGAAAAGATGTAGTTCGACTCCATGCAGTGCTTCACATTTGGGTTATATTACTTATTATTACAGTCTCTGTTTCTATTTCTTTACCTTACTCATCTCTAAAATAAATCTGTTGAATATACCAATTTGAATTGCTTAATTTTTTGAGGGATGTAAAAGTACCCTGCCACGTTCAACTAGTTAACCTTAGTCAAAATTTATTATCATATTTTAACGGCCGTTTGTTTGCGATGTTTAAATACGCAGACTCTGTTGTAACTACTCTACCGTTGTCAAATTTGAAATATTTACAAATTTAGATCGTACAGTGCTGTTTATTTGGAATTCTTATTGACGCAATCGTTCTTGTAACATCATAACTGTCGTCATCGTTAAACGTTTAGAATTGTGCTAGTTCATATCGCACATTATTATTTTTATTTAAAGCATATATTTGAACTCTCTGTTGTAATTAGTCATATAACCTATGTCGTGTTTAACACATATTTAGAATTGTGCAAGCGTCTTACCTGATGTTCGGTTTGACTTTTTTATTGTATAAATTTAAAGATTGTTATAGTTTAATCTAAGTAGACTGATATATGATTCATTCAACATCACAATCATATTTACTGATGAAGGATATCTGTTATCCGAAATATTTAAAAATAATTACATTTATAGTTCCTTTTTTTTTGTTATTGGTGTTGTTGTGTACACTTTTTAGGCGTTTATATATATATATATATATATCTAAATATAATTTATGTAATGAAATTACTTTCAGTGCCAAATATGTCCTTTCATGGTAAAAACTAAATATAAAGTTATGAATGGCTAAGGGCGATAAATTGTTTAAATAATAAATGAAAATGAATAAATGTCAACACTAGCACCTTACATTTTTTTTATAAATAATATTTTTATATCTAGTTTAAAAGCTGAGTATGTAAGAATACGATTAAAGAAATCTTTGGACCGTTTACTTTGAACATAGTAAGATTTAAATCCTCTTTTGAAATGACCATTATTTCTTGTGTAATATTGTTTATTGCACAAAAGCACACACTAAATAAGTATATAATAGATCACACTGTCCTAGATAATAACTTACAAACATACAAAATTAAAGTTAAATTCATGTAATCAAGGCCTTGAAAATTTACTTATGCTTTTTGAAGGAAACAGTTAAGAGGTGTCTATAGATTTGTGTATATTAAATAATGTATGCTTACAATATCGCATTAGCGCATTATATGATAATATTTATCGCATTTTTAAAATATTAAGCGTGAAATTTCACCTCTTTTCCATTACTTAATGAATACTTCAGTTTCGCCACTGGAACAAAAAAGTAAGCAGGGGTCTGGGGGCGACAGCCCACCCCTAGAAGCTGAACGATTGTAGTAAAATTCTAATGGAAAATAATATGTTTAATAGAATTATTTGTAAGCACATGCTTACAATGATATACTGGTGCTATGCCACTGGAATATCTAATCCACTCACCACCAATTATAAAAAAAAACCAAGAATGTCATAAGACATGTACGACATGTATAAGAGTTTGCGATACTTATCATTTAGACAAGCCGACCGTGCGAGACCCTCATGGGTAGTCAAGGTCGTTAAACACCCCCTAGTAGTAAATTTAGACAAATTTGCCCAATAATAATCCGGATACAAAAAGACCTGTGATTATTTGTCCGTATTGAACTGGCAAAATTTTTGTGTATAAATACATTTACCGTTAGATAAGTTCTTATCTTATTTTAATGTTGACAACAAAAATATCTTATTAATACATGTATATACATATATTAAGGATTCGTATGACAAATGGTGGTTCAGTGTGGTGACTAACCCAGTCGCTTGCCTCCATTCCACCACAATCATGCATGATATATGTGATGCTATTGCAGAACAGACCAGTAATCGTGATAAATATCAGGGGGCTCCATGCGGCATAGAATCCTACTTCACTTCGCATGCGATATCCAACGTATTGACGTAAAAGTCGATGTTTTTTTAAAAATATAGTTAAAAGTTTGTGATGATTTTTTTTTAAAGTTCATCCTGGTCATGTACAATAAGTAAAAGGGTTAAATTGTTCTATTCAAACTTACCTTTTATTTCATGAATCAGTGTGCAAAATGTAACAACTGTGAACCCAGTCACAGGGTCCACCATGATGATATTCCATCAAATTTTCAATAAATCCCATTTTTACATAATATCATAGAAAAGAGCGATTCAAACTTTCTCATTGTTTTATTTCAGCAATTATTAATTTGTGGTAATGGCCTTGACTCAGGTCAATCATAAATGTGTTCCTTTTTGTTAAACACTCGTCAATTTTTTGCAGTCCGGTTATCTTGAAATAAATCACATATCCATTGATCCTTTAAAAATAGCGATGTGTTCATTTATAATCTTCAGATTGTATGTTGATATTTAATATATTTCTAAGTTACCAGTATCACAGTATGAGTCCATTAAAAGTTAGCAAACTTTTTGAAACGAGAAACACCTCCGCATATTGTTAATATCCACCAATTTTCGCTCTCTGTGTCAACAATGCTTTGCTCCAAACAAACAGTTCTATGTGTATAGTTATAACTGAACAAACGATTTATTAAATCAGGTATAACCGAATTTTAACCTGCTATTTAATTATTCCTTAAACTAGATCGTAGTGTACCTCTACAGAAAAACTTTAAATATACCCGTTAATATATCGATTGTGTTTAAAAAGCATATAATCTGTCTTTAATTGGAGGTTAAGCTGATTAATAAGAAAAAATTTCTATTGAAACATTATAATGTTATGTCATTACACCGTTTGTAACAAATACTTGTCAGTAATTTATAAGTACTTAAATCATTTAATGTCGTGGTAACATATAAAGGTAAAGGTTAATTAGCAACAGATTTAATTAATAGTATAAAGACGTATAATACAATTATATGTCTCTGATACAACACAAGTTTCGCTAATTAACCAATCAGTGCTATTTGTATTAATTCTGCTTTTTTATATATATATATCAAGAGAGATGTAAAAGGAGATGCCAAACTACGACAACAATTATGAGATTGAAAAGTTTTATAAAAATGGGAAGTAACTCCAAATATCAATACAGCAAAATCGGGATTGCTTATCGGCAGTGTAGATGCATTAGGGAACAAAGATCAAAATCGGCTGTACACTATCGCATACTTTATCATTTTGAGTAATCTAATTCCACCAACAATTCAAAGTATGATTGTTTATCCACTGCACAATGGTAACGATATAATAGACTCGCATTAACTAATGAATCATTTACCATGAGTACCAACTGTGCCCCTCTTCTTGCCGACTTGTTCTCTTATTCCTATGAGGCTGAATTCATACAGGACCTTCTTAGGAAAAAGAAAAGAAGTTAGCAGTATCCTTTAACTTTACTTTCAGCTATACAGATGATGTTCTCTCACTAAATAATTCAAAATTTGGTGACTATGTTGAATGCATCTATCCCATCGAACTTGCGATTAAGGATGCAACAGATACAGTTAATTCTGCCTCATATCTTGACTTACATCTAGAAATTGACAATGAGAGTAGGTTGAAAACAAAACTTTACGACAACAGAGATGATATCAGCTTCCCAATTGTGAACTTTCCATTTCTATGTAGCAACATTCCAGCAGAGCCTGCATACGAAGTATATATCTCCCAGTTGGTGCGATATTCCAGGGCTTGTATTTCCTATCATGATGTCCTTGATAGAGGGTTGCTGCTCACAAGGAAGCTATTAAACCAAGAGTTCCAAGTGTGAAGTTGAAATCATCCCTTCGTAAATTGTATGGACGCCATCACGAGTTGGTTGACCGTTATGGAATATCCCTTTCACATATGATAGCGGATATGTTCCAAATGTCGTAACTGCAATCCCGTCCTTTTTTCCCCGAATGTGACCTACCGAATAGACTTATTACCGGGTTTGTACTAACATGAGCAACACGACAGGTGCCACATGTGGAGCAGGATCTGCTCACCCTTCCGGAGCACCTGAGATCACCCCCAGTTTTTGGTGGGGTTCGTGTTGATCAATATTTAGTTTACTATGTTGTGTTTTGTGTACTTTTGTTTGTCTATTTCTTATTTAGCCATGGCGTTGTCAGTTGATTTTCGATTTATGAGTTTAAAAGTCCCTTTGATATCTTTCGCCTCTCTTTGACATCATCAACTATAGTCTATGGAATAACATTGATACTTCAACTCGTGGAGCAGACATGGTAGACACATAGGAAAATTTAAAACGAAACTAAAAACTTAAAATCCCAATATTAATAAATACATGCCGAAACAATATGAGTTTGGAAGTCCACTCAATATTATTCTTAACCAACTTCGATGTTCTGCTTCCTTCTTAAATTCTGATCTGTATAGAGTTAATATTATTTCTGATCAATATTGCCGCTGCGGTGTGAATTGCGAAGATTTGCATCATTTCTTTTTTTAAAATGTATATTATATTCAGAAAAACGAAGTAAGCTTTTATAAAATCTTAGGTGGCTCCCAAATAACTGCCCATTAAATATAGAACTACAACATGTATTACTAGTAACCTCTGGTAGTTGTAAACTTACTCAGGAGCATAATGAAAATATCTTTAAACATATATTTGAGTTCATTAGAGGGTCGAATAGATTTCTTATTCTTTAGATAGTAAAAAATGACCACACACACATCACCATCTTAGTTCAGTTGTTTTTTTTTTTGTTTTGTTTTGTTTTGTTTAGTGTTTTTTTTTTCCTTTGTTTTAAATTAATTATTTCCTTGTTGTTTTTCGTGTTCTATTTTGTTGTTGTTCTATTGTGCCACTTAAATTTTCTGTCCAATTCATAAAAATGAAGAAATAATATGTACTGTATGCATGCTCTTATATATTGTATTTAAGAAATAATTAATACAAGCTATACTTTATTGGAGTTTAAACATGGGTAGGCATTATATTCGTGATTATTTTTTGCCCGAGCGATAGTGAGGGCTAAAATAACACGAATATAATGCCTACCCATGTTAAAACTACAATAAAGTATAGCTTGCATCAATTATTTCGATTCTGATTAGGACAATGAAGGTGATTTCTATGTCCGATATGTATAAGTGTAGAGTGTTTGTATAGGCTCTTCCATGAAAATCTCCCTTTTTTTGTTTGTAAACAAGCAAACGACAGGCAATGTGATTTTTCAGAGGGGGAGTTTTGAACAGCCAACGGTTGTCGTATCTAGGTCAAATGTGTCAAATTTCTGATTGCAACACATTACAGTCACGATAAATGAATTAGTAACAACATGTGCATCATTTAAGACTTTGGAAGTGTTTTAAGTTAATGAAATATATTAAATGCATGCCAATTTGCTAAAATTCATTATCTGCAGTAGTCAATATAAGCATGTGCAAACGAATTTTATTGGATTTAGAGCATGGGTTTATTCACAAAGCGAAAGAAGCACGTCATATTAGAATGTGAAATAAGTTAAATGGAGAAGACTTCATAAGTCTGTTTGACTTGTGTCTCATCCAATTTGTGTTTATGCAAATAAAATATGTTTAAACTAAACTATTTTATAATTGCATCTGCTGTACACGACAGCAAAACCAATTGATTTGAATGGCAATCGGGAACATATGATATCCAGTTGTATCTGCTGTAGGGGAATCCGGTAAAATGATGCTAAAAGATACTAAATAGATGATTTTTCTCGTTTGTACTTGACATATCTATTTCGGATAAGTATGTCATAAATCAGCACATAAAATTCCAAAATTAAATCTTTCCAAGAAAATCACAAATCTCTGATTATAAAGAGTCTATAAACATTACATTAAAAGTCAGAATAGATCTCTTGGTAGTTACTAAACTTACTATCAAGGAAATCAACCATTATTAATTTTTCATACTAACAAAAACCATTAGACACCGAAAAACATTAATTTTTGTATGTCCAATGTGTAAATGTTTTAAATTACAAAAAAAACATGTGAAAATGAATACTATATCGCGACAAGACAAAAACAAGCAATAAAGGCTTTACTGTGCCTATGCTTATATGAAGTCTCTACCTGCTGATATTATTCTAAAACTATTTGATTCTATTATAGAACCAATACATCGCCAAGTTCTGAAGTCTTAGGGTAAAAACTTTTTGAAAAATGTTGAACAAATCCATTAAAAGTTCTGCAAAAGTGTTGTAAAAGAACGCATGATACCAGTGTCTGATATAACTTTTATCACTCGATACCAAAAGTTCGGCAAGCCAAAATATAAAACATTTGAGATCAAAAGTGCCTAAACAGATCAACACAAGAGTGCACACGCTGAAATGTCTCGCCTGCTTTACTGACCATTGATTTTATGTTGATAGTCCTAAATATAAAGCTTTACAAGTATCACATAAACTTAACATGATCCAAGAAAATGAGGCCATGGTCAGATAAACAAAACCAGAAATACATGTTCACTTTAAAATCATTCCATACACCAAATATAGTTGACCTATTGCTTATAGTTTCTTAGAAGCGAACTTAACCAGGAAAACTTGACATTGAACAATGAACCATGAAAATGAGGTCAATGTCAGATGACCCATGCCAGACAGACATGTACACCTTACAATCAATCTATGCATTAAAAATAGTTGACATATTGCTTGAAGTATCTAGAAGCTAATTTAACCACGAAAACTTAACATTGACCAATGAACCATGAAAAAATGAGGTAAAGGTCAGATGATACCTGCAGACAGACGTATACACCTTACAATAATTCCATACATTAAATATAGCTGACCTATTGCTTACAGTTTAAGAAAAACAGACCAAAACATAAAAACTAAACACTGAGCAGTGAACGGTGAAAATGAGGTCAAGGTCAAATAAAACCTACCAGACTGACATGTACATCGTAAAATATTTCCATACACCAAATATAGTTGACCTATTGCATAAAGTATTAGAAAAAAGACCAAAACACAAAAACTTAACTTTAACCACTGAAAAATTTAACTTTTTTTTCAAGTAGTCACTAAATCATGAAAATGAGGCCAAGGACGATGGACATATGACAGACGGAAACTTCATATCGCATCTATATACAAAGTATGAAGCATCAAGGTCTTCCACCTTCTAAAATATAAAGCTTATAAGTTGTTAGTTAACGCCGCCGGATCACTATCCCTTTGTCGAGCTTTCTGCGACAGAAGTCGCAGGCTCGACGAAAAACTGTCAAAGGTCAACTATGTCCTAGACTTACAAATTTAACCTTAGTTTTAGAAATTAACTTAATCTTTGGACTAGAAATTTACAGATAAAATGTATCATTTCAACCAATTATATGAAGTCCGATTCAGATCATCGGAGCACTTTTTTCCCGTTTGGAGAATGTGATATTTGTGGTGAATAAAATATGCTAGCAGATTGTACAAACACGGTATGGTGTCATAAATATATTATATATATATTTTTTTTATCCAAAAATTGATAAGAAACCTACTTAAAAAAGACAGGATGCGACAAATTTACATTTACCTTAAGCAACTGGTTGTTGATAAAATGCACTAACGGAGGAGAAGAAAATGCAAGATTGTATGGAATGGTATAGCCGGGGATTTCAATAATTTGTATATTTTGTAAAAATCC